GGACTAGATGACCCACAGAGGTCCCTGCCAACCCCGACCATTCTGTGATTCTGTGATTCTGGGGAAGCAAGGGCTCCTGTGCCACCCAAGCCCACGGCAGAGGAGTTTCCAGGTGGCACCACGTGTCTCCCGTGGAAGGTCTCACTTGTGGACTTCACGAGACCGGTGGCCCGGGCAGAAACGTGGCTTGTGTTCTCCACACCCACAGCTGGCTTTGCCTTTTCTTTTTCCTTTCTTTTTCGATTCTACTGCTCCGCTGGGTTAAAGGAGGGCGAGTCATTCCTGTCACTCCTCTGGGCAGTCACACCACCTGGAGAGACATGGGCAGAAGCGAGGTGGTGGAGAGTGAACCTGGGAGGCAAGAGGAGGTTCATCACGGAGGCTCATCCCTGTGGGTGGCAGATATTTTCATGTGAGAGCAAGGTTAAGCAGCAGTAAAACGCCCAAGAGGCAACACCTACCTGTCAGACCTGGAAGTTGAGCCGATAAAGCGGCTGGAATTAGGAAAAAAATAAAGAAACATCTGGGCAGCCAACCTGAGGAGCTCCTTAGAGGGGAGGGCTGGTGGTGTCTCATCCTCTTTTGGACAGAGGTGGTTTCTAAAGGGTCTCTGCCGAGTTATCAGTGTATGTTCCTGCTCTGGCTGGCTTGCAGCCTCAGCAGATAATCACAGAATCACAGAATCCCAGAATGGTTGGGGTTGGAAGGGACCTCTGTGGGTCACCCAGCCCAACCCCCTGCCCACGCAGGGTCACACCGAACCCCCTGCCCAAGCAGGGTCACCCAGAGCAGGCTGCACAGCACCGTGGCCAGGCGGGGCTGGAATATCTCCAGAGAAGGAGACTCCACAGCCCCTCTGGGCAGCCTGGGCCAGGGCTCCGTCACCCTCAGAGGGAAGAAGTTCTTCCTCGGGTTCAGCTGGAACTTCCCAGGCTTCAGTTTGTGCCCATTGCCCCTTGTCCTGTCACTGGGCACCACTGCAAAGAGTCTGGCCCCGTCCTCCTGACCCCCACCCTGCAGATATTTAGAGGCATTTCGAAGGTCCCCTCTCAGCCTTCTCTTCTCCAGGCTGAACAAGCCCAGCTCCCTCAGCCTTTCCTCATAGGAGAGATGCTCCAGATAAAATAAACCAAACCTCTTCTCGAAGCCTTCAGCTGTTAGTGGAGCTGGTTTGGCCATGTAGCACAAGCCAGAGCACGACTCTGGTGGGACACAAACCTACCGAGCTGGAATCAACTTTTGTAACCGTTGTTATCTCAGCGGTGGGGCCTCTTTGAGGCCAGGAACATCTCACCATGCCCCCAGGCATCTCAGCAGCTTCTTGATGTCCAGTGAAGAATAGGGATTTTCAGGCAGTGCTTCTTGCATAGAGTGCTGGGCGTCCTGTGAAGGTTGTCACCAAAAATGAGGTGGCTTATTGCAAACCAACCGTGGCAAGCGGCGTAGAGCCGTGTTGGACGTTTTGAGGTGTCCTCAGTTCATCCTGTGGTTGATGCAGAGGAAGATGTTTAGGGAAAGCATGGCTCTGTGTGTCTCTCCCCTCTGTGCCGTTCCGCTTCGGGGTTTTGATGCTGAGAACATCTTTGGTACAGGAAGATGTTACAGCATGCAGGGTGGCTTCAGTGACGGCCGTGTCGTAGCACGTAAATCATCCATTCTCCACTCCCAGAATTTACAAATAGTTGATGGGAGAGTGTTGGGCTCCTGCAGTGGCCGTGAGCTAAAAGAAAATCTGCTTTCGCTGGGACAAAAAGGTTCACCTCATGAATATTTTTCATTTTCCGCTTTTCACCGTTGATTCCGGTTTTCACCTGGGTGGGCTCTGGTGGGCGTTGTTAGCTTTTAGGTAGGAATTTAGCGTTAAACTTGGTGACAGCTGGTGTAGTGGCTGTAGAAGAATAAAAGGAGGTATATAACTATTTTTGATCATTTTTTATATAACTATTTTTGAGAGGGAGACAGTGTCCTGCATGTTAGAGGTCTGTTTTCGTCGGGGGTGCCTGGCCAGCTCTGTGTGTCTTCCTTGTCGTTCATTTTGATTTTATGCATAAAAATACACAAAGGCCTGGATGAACTCCCCAGTATTTTGGAGCTATTTGAATTACAGCGTGGGCATCACTCCAGCCTGTGCTTGCATTTTTGAGTTCTCGTCCCCTGCCCAGGTGTGACCAGACTTGAGCGGTGGGAAAAAAATCATTAAGGTGACTTTTCATTTTTCTCCCCTTCTCTACCAGCAATGAAAAGCGGCGTCGGGAACAGGAGAACAAATACTTAGAGGAGCTGGCGGAGCTGCTGTCTGCAAACATCGGGGACATCGACACTCTGAGTGTCAAACCCGACAAATGCAAGATCCTAAAAAAGACGGTGGATCAGATCCAGCAGATGAAGAGGATGGAGGAAGG